GAGGGACTGTGACAGAAGAAAAGGGAAGACAGCTGGAAATTCTCGGGAGAGCGGATTCGGGAGGGAACCGTGACAGGATGGGGGCTGTGGTAAAGAGATCTCTCCACGTAACCGCGACTCTAACTCTCCTCACCCCCTGGCGGGATGGAGGGGCCGGGGCTGGTTACAGGGGGCTCCTGCTGCAGCTGCAGCAGCGTTAGTAGCCTGAGGTGTGCCCGGGTGCCCCTCATTGGCTGTGAGGGTGAGTCCTGTTATTAGGTGACGCTGTTAAAGGTCTCTCTGATGGATGCATTAGGCTCCTCCAGTTCCAAGGTGAGTAAGTGTGAGCTTCGTTGGAATGCAGATTGTTGGTTTTTAATATGACAGGGGGGTTCAAGAATGTTTCGACTATGCCCGGCAAGTAACCCTGAAACTGGGGAGCACTCACCACGCTTTGAGAGTCGCTGCTGGTTTACGTTTGCAGTCTACCAATGGGTCTATGCAAAGTTCTCAGTAAGCCACGATTTTAACTAATGATGCTTGTCAACATGGAAAAACGCGCACGCGCTCTTTTGCTTGCATGCTTGGTATTTCAAACTATTCGTTTGAAAACGATTTCAGATCCAGCCCAGCCAAAGCTAGCGAAGTATGAGGTTAACCTGCTGACTGGAGACGTTGATAAAGGATGAATATTGGAGGTCCGAGGAAGTAGCTCCGTTGTTAAGTGTGTTTTTGACTGGCATGCATGAAGCTACAGATTCAATCCCCAGCACTACATATTATCAGGCATAGTGGCAGATACTTGTTATCTCAGTACTCAGAAGGTGGAGGCAGAAGAAGCAAAAGTTCAAGGTCACCCTCGGTCTGAGATAAATACATTGTGCGGGGAAGAGGTATCCCTCACTGGTGGAACTAGTAGTAGAGCACTTTCCTAGCATGTGTGAGACTCTAGGTTGGATCTCTAGCTCCGCACAAGTAAATAGCAAAACAGTATAATCAGCAGGCGTGTGTGTGTGTGTGTGCGTGCGTGCGTGCGTGCGTGCGGGCGTGTGTGTGTGTTTCCAATGCTATATCAATGCATGAAAATTAAAAGCCCAAGGTGTTAAAATCATGAAGTCATGTACTCCCTCATACTGACTGCATACTGGTAGGCCTGGTCCCTTCAGGAACAAAGGTCCACATAGTACTTGAATTTTTTTAAGTATATACTGTCATACCCTGGGAGCCACATGTTGGAGAATGAAAGCCAGTTCTCAGAATTTGTCCTCCATACACTATTACTCATGTGTGCATGTACACACACACACACACACACACACACACACACACACACACACAAATGTTAAAAACAAACTCAGGTTTCTGGCCTTTCTGAAAAATTAGAAGTGCCATGTTTCACCATGGACATAATTTTTGTTCACATTTAATATTACCAAAATATGCTTTTAGGTAATTTGTGGCATCTTTTATTTTCTGTTTTTAAAGATGAAGTCTTTCTGGGTAGCTTAGGTTTGCCTGAATTTGTTATGTATCCTTGGCTGGTCTCAAACTTTTGATCTACAGCCTACTGAAGACTAGGATCGCAGGCATATGCAACCATTCTTAGCGACTCTTCTTTCTGTTGGTATGAAATAAGGGTATTATTTAATTCGTGGAGTTTTTATATTTGAGAAAATGTATTATTAAGACACCTCTTTTTCTGTAAGTCCCACCAGCCAGAAATTATATTGAGTAGAAATTATATTCTTTGTTTTTTTGTTTTTCAAGACAGAGTTTCTCTGTGTAACAACTCTGGCTGTCCAGGAACTAGCTCTGTGTACCAGGCTGGCCTCGAACTCACGGAGATTTTCCCACCTCTGCCTCCCAAGTGCCGGGGTTAAAGGTGTGTGCCACCACCACTCAGCAAAATTATATTCTTTACATGGACTTATAATGTCCACTTGGTCCTTTAGGAATTTTTGGCTCCTATCTGTAAGAGGAACCGGTATCCTACAGCAACTTACATTGCAAGAAGTAGCTAGATTGCCTCTAACTCTGTTCCAACAATGTTGTGAAAGTGTTCTTTTATGTGTCACTTTTGTATGGATCAAGGCAAGGATTTCCCTGGGAAATAAAAGTAGGAGTGTTCAGTCAAAGAGTCTGTGTGTACTTAATTTTCCTTTTCCAGGATGCATAGAGCAATTTTTACTTCCTCCATCACTGCATAAGAGTTCCTCTCTCTCTGTATTGTCAACAACTTTTGCTAATCTAAAAATGTATATATATATATATATATATATATATATATGATATTCTTTTGTTTTACTTTGAATTTTTCTGATTTTCAATGAATACAAACAATTTTTCATAGTCATATCAGTTACCTGGGTTTGACTATCTATGAATTGTTAATTCATGGTTTAGTTTTGCTAGTTAAAAATTTTTATTTATGAATTTTAGTAGATGCTGTCATAGTCTTTTATTGGTTTCAAGAGGAAAACATCTTCTTCCAATTTTTCTGTTAACGTTGTCATGGTGTGCTTCACTTATTGAGCCATTTGTGCTAACGGTGGTTTATTCTTTTGGGTTTCTATATAGACCATCAACTGCACTTGGTGACAGTTTAATTCCCTTCTTTAGATCATTCCAATTTGTACTTCTTTTATTACAACATTGACAAAGCAGTGATATTGGACATCTTTGATGTGTTTGGGATCCTAAAGAAAATTACTTTAAGCTGGGCGATGGTGTCGCACGCCTTTAGTCCCAGCAATCAGGAGGCAGAGGCAGGCGGATTTCTGTGAATTCGAGACCAACCTGGTCTACAAGAGCTAGTTCCAGGACAG